TCCCCTCCTTGCAATTCTTCATCATCTCAAGAACATTTATGTGCAAATTCGCAGCCACATATTTCGAAGCTTTCCCATCTCCATGGCCATCATAAACTCCGAAAAAACTCTAAAATCATTACCCACCAAAACCCATCAACCTAAGATTTTCAAAACAAGGAATCGATCTAAAGGAGAAGAAAGAAACATACATACCTTCTTTGAGCTGCCGCCGAAACAAGGTTCAGTTACGTGACTATCATCCATAAAAATCTTCTTACCCTTTCTAGTGACGACACCGAAACCGTTGTTGCCTTCCAAGCACAATCTGTGTGGCAAGTCTCGGAATCTGAGATCATCATCGTTCTTATGCGGAACAGGTGGTGGGAAGTCCATCTTTCTCTTCAAAGATCGCCGGTTTGTGAGAAGCAAGGGTGTATCCATGGCTGAGAAAAGAGATACTGATAGCTGTCACAGAGCAAGCTGCTACAGAAATGTGAGTGGAAAAAGTTTAATTTGTAGTGTAGAGGCTTTAGGGGTTTTTTGGTCAGTCATCAATGAAGACAGTTCACTCTGAAAACGTTTCAAGTGTAAGTGGCAAATCAAAATTTGGATAAAGACAAAAATAAAACGGAAAGACTAACGTAAAATGGTAAGAAACAAAAAAGGGATAAGACAAAAAAGAATAAGAGGTTGTAACCGAACGTATATTGAGAACTTTCCAATGTATCATTGCATTTTCCATCCTAAAATGAGAACAATTCCAGAATGTAGTTGGATTTCTTTCCAAAGTATTATTTTGTTTCCATTTCAAAAAGATTATCTGAAGTATATTTCTTTTGAAATTTTATGATTAATTGCTAACTATTATGGTTCAAATCTATGAAAGGTTCCTGACTATCTATAGATGAGGTGCAGCCCAACAGATAGACCATACTGATTTCCAATTATTCAAATGGGCCGAAAGTAAAGGTATATATTCATGTGGTCAATTGAAAATGGAGCACAAAGCTTAGCTTTTAACTTTTTGTTGAAATCATCTATTTAGCCAATCATTTTATTGAAAACGCCACATTAACATTTACAAAATCAATTATAACAATGTACAGTTGGAGTAATTAATTGACATTCAACTGATTTTGTTATGCTAGCCTAAAAAATATGTTTATTTCTCTTGTTTTTCTTATCATTTAAAGGAAAACGCCACATTAAAGTTCACAAAATCAACTATAACAATGTACAGCTGGAGTAATTAATTGACATTCAACTGATTTTGTTATGCTAGCTTAGCAATTATGTTTATTTTTCTTGTTTTGCCAATTAGTTTATGGAAAACACCACGGTAACGTTCACAAAAACAATAATTACACTGAGTACAGTTGAATGTTATGGACAACGCACTACGCCGAACATTTGCTAGCAAAAGAAAATTGGGTGTATGTCAATTAATTACTCCAGCCAATTGACATTCAACCTGGAATAATTAATTGACAAAATTGGCTAAATGTCAATTAATTACTCCAACCAATTGACATTCAGCCTGGAATAATTTATTGACATTCAGCCAATTTTTTTTTGCTAGTAAATGTTTTTATTTCTCTTCTTCTTTTGTTGTATACATTGATTACACTGTCCATATCAGCATTTATATATATATATATATATATATATATATATATTTTTAAATATATAATATATTCAAGATAGGCAGTATTATTATAAGATTTCAAAAAACGAAACAATTTTGAAATCTTTGTAAAAACATTAAAAGCTTTTAAAAAAACCAGTGGTATATTTTTTGGAATTTTTAATAGTTTAAAAATACAAAACATAGAAAATGCAGGTACAATTAAGAAATATGATGCTCTGTATCAATAGTACATTTTGTACATAGTGGAACATTAATTCTGTTATTTGCATATATTAATAATATTTTTATTTTTACAGTTGGTAATCTTGATAATTGTATAATTAAGAAAGGGGTTCTTTGAAAAATACCATATTATGTTTTGATATTTGAAAAATACCCTACTTTTTTATACTTTGAAAATACACTTTTGTATGTCAAAAGACTGTTTTAACCTTATTTTAACAAAACAGTATTGAATAATTAATTAATCTTACTATATAAAGCTGGATGCGCGCGACGTAGTTGCGACACGTATGCTTTTTATAAAATATAAGATCACGACATGTGTCACTTTTAAGATTATGTCCGTTAAGATCGTGACAAGTGTATTAGGAGAAAAAAGAAAAAGATATTTTCAAAAAATACTAGAAATAGGATAATTAAAAAAATGAAATTTGATTAAAAAAATGAAATTTAATCTATTTTATATAAAAAAGAAAAATTAATATTTGTCATATCCTAACAGAAAAAGGTTTTCCCATTCATCAAATTTATATTATCCAAACACATATTATTTTATAAAATAAGATTGAAAATAATATAATAAATAAAATCCTATTACTATATGGAATAGGTACGTAAACTAAAATTCATATATCTGCAAGGAATATGTTATATGAACACCTATAAATACAAAGTTACAGTAGTCTCTTTTTCTCATTCACAAACTCATCAAAGCAAATTCATCAAATATCTCTGATTCTCTTTCTCTAATTTAAAAATCACGTCTTTGAATGTTCAAGAAAACAGTGAAGATTATTTGACTCTAGGTCAATTGGATCAAAATCGAAATTATCGTTGTACTATAGTACGTGTTATTCGAAAGTGGGAAGTTAGAAATCCAAAAGAAAATAATATTCTTATGGGAGTTGAGCTTCTACTACTTGATGAAAAGTTAGTAAGAAAATATATAATTTACAATAAATTGTTACATCCATTAAGAAACGGAAAAAACATATTCCCAATACAAGAAGGAAAAAAAAAACAATATATAATAAGTTACACCCTTCATGATTCAATTGTGTACTTCTATATTTTGTTTAAATTTTCTTTCTTATTAAGTAATGAAAAATCATGTCTTTAAAATTTCAAGATATCAATGAAGAATATTTAATTTTAGATCAGTTGGATCAACATCAAAACTACTGCCGCACCATGTATAATATTTGATCAGATTATAACATGTGTTAACACAAGAAAATTAGAAAAATTTAATAACAAAACCAAAAATTGTAAAATAACTAATTAATAATGAAAAGAAAAACTAATAATGGTCTGAGGCAAAATAAATATTATAAAAGAAAGAATATAAATAGAAAGTTAACAAAATAATTATCAAAAAATAACTAATATTAAAAAGTTTTATTTTGGTCCGATTTTCTAATTTTACATAGTTTATTTTCAAATTTTTGTTAGGTCCAAAAATATTTTAAATTTTGATTTCATCAACTGAAATCTCTTCGATGGAATAATCAAAGTTTCACGTATTAATTAGTCCATCAGATTTAAACACATGTAAGTATTTCTATATTATATAAAAATAAGATAACACAAATTAATTAATTTTTCATATCATGAATTCAAAACAAATGTCAATTATAATAAAAATGTAAAAAGATTAATAATCTTATTTTATTTAGTGATTTGTTATCGGGTTTTTATTATTATTCTACTTACTTTTAAAAATGATTATATTATGTTTAATAATTTTCCATGATTTATTTCAAATTTTTTAAAATAAACCCGCGTATATGCGGGGCCTAATCTAGTTAAGTATAAATTTCAAAAATATTATTATGAATGATATTATTTTATTTTGTTCAGATAAATGTTTGTCAATTATTTAAAATTAAAAATTTAGAAATTGATAAATCTAGAGAAAAGTTTAAAATTTGTCTTCAATAAATTTAATTATTTTTGGAACCTTATAAACAACTTTAATATAACACATAATCTTTTATTCATCAAACATTGACCAGAGCCACACAAAAAAAAGGAATACAAAACTTTTTAGCAGATAATTATGAATTAATATTTTTATCAGTTTAAAATGAAAAAAATCAATATCAAATCATAATTTTTTTATTGTTTAAATTTTATTTTTATTAATTAAATTTTGTTTTAAATTAGTTAGAAACTTCAAGGTAGGATAATTTAATCATTTTATATATAAAAAGTGTAGTTTTCAAAATTTTAAAAGTATGGTATTTTTCAAAATAAAAACTGATATGAAGGTATATTCCCAAAATTTCTCATTAAAAAATATGTTGCTCTATATCAGTATAGTACATGTTGTAAATAGTGGAACATTAATTCTGTTACTTGCATATATTAATAATATTTTTTTTTACATTTGAGAATCTTGATAAGGGTAACAACTGGTGATAATGCATTGGTCAAATACATTCTCATAATCTAGAAGGGGCAAATGGGGTAAATAACATGTATTTTACACGCTAGAAATAGAAAACTTGACTGTACTTGCTAGTCAGTACTCACCTTAATTTCATTACAACAACAAGAACTCTATGACTATGCCGAGCTTTCCTGTGCCGACGTCATTTCCAGTGTCCAACAGTGATAGCCAAGAGGGAGAGAAGAAAGCAAGTTACGTCAACTACGAAGTAGGGCCTGGCTTCACCATTCATCTGTGTCCGAATTTTGACCCTGCCATGGACCCTAAGAAGCTCAAACGGTTCGGTTATATCATTTTCATTTTTTTTTTACTTACCTTGCGATAGTATGTAAATATCATTATCCTTTGTTAATTTTTTCCGTATGTAATATTGCAGCATAGTTTCAAACCGTGTTGCGGGTCAGCAGTCAAGGTGGAAGAAACTTCAGTATGTTAATGATCTAGAGAAACGAGTGAGAGAACTCCATGTATGTTTATATAATATTTTATATTACTTTCCCTCTTCTTATTTATGTATCCTTACATAATTTTATAATATCAAATGTAATTATATAGTGGCAGGTGAGTATTTTGCGTGCCCGAAAAATGATATTGATTGAGCAGAACCGACGTGCAGAGAGGATGAACATGAAGCTTAAGGAGCGTTTGTTTGCTGAAGTTCAACACTCAATCTTCCTAAAAGGTATATAATCAGTTAATTAGATATTATTATATTTAGAATTTGATATATAATAGTCATTATAATGCTAATTAACAGGTCTGGTTGAGGCGCTTAGAGCACAGGCTGAGAGTTTGAAGAAGTAATCGACTTCTTCGAATTGACTATACTCGCCATGCATCTCCTTATCTTAAGATCCTACCCAAATTTCATGTGTTTTGCTTTTAAAGTTTTGTTGTTTGGTATTATTGTCAAAGTGGTTGTAGTTTCTGTTTGGATTGTAATATTTTGTTTTGAAGAATTAAAAAACAAAAGAAAATTGAGTTCGAACATTGGGGAAAGAAAAATCTCATTTGACCGAATTTATGTTTACATCAGTTTTCTATGGCTCGATTGGATTTACGCAGAAAGAACAACACATCAAATTATAAATCACTAAATGAAATTGCAACAGATTGACAGAGGACAGAAAACAAAAATGAAATAGAGTATGTATTATATTAAAATATTGTTTTTCTCCATAATAGTTTTTGTTGTTTTTTCAATAATAGTTTTGTCATTTTTTGTTACTACATATCAATTAATTTCTAAACCGTTTTAGGAAAAATAAAAATGCCAATTCTGAATTTAAGATATAAAAAGGCTGTAACTATTATATTACAATTTTTATTTTTTTCCATAATAGTTTTATTCGTTTTTTCAATAATAGTTTTGTCCTTTTTTGTTAGTACATATCAATTGATTTTTAAACCGTTTTAGGAAAAATAAAAATACCAATTCTCATTTTAAGATATAAAAACGCTGTATAGAAATTCAAGAAAACGGCTATATAATGATTGGCATGCATACGCACCTACGTTTTCCAACTCGCCTTGTTTTTGTCCTATTTGCTTTCTCTATTTTCACACACACAAATTATTAGTTAATGACTCATACAAACACCACAAGAAACTAAAGTTCCCACCAGAATTTTGATATCAATCTCTAGATTCACATCCATTGTCATTTCTCTTGGTAGAGTCCTTTTTTAAAACACTATACGGTGTCACAAAATTCAAATTGCTCGCAAATTTTTTACTCAACGGAGATTAATTACCGCTTACCGGTAAAATGAAAATCAAATACATGGGCACGCGCACAGATCTCTATCTACTTAGTAAACGGGACCGGAACGGTACAATTCATACTCAGTTTGGTTTGCTCTGGGTTATTAGCCTAATTATCTAACTATTTTTTGATTCAGTATGTTCCACACTACATGCTTCACAACAACAGAAATGTAAACATCTATTATACGGCTGGCAATTAATACTCTGGTGATTTTTAGTCATTTTCTTAGAGTTATCATTTTTATACAAGATTTAAGACGATGTCATAACCTCTAATATCCGTTGTCAAAAAAATAAATAAAAAATTTAACATGCTTGATACATGGCCTCATAGTTGAACTCTATCGAGTTGTAACATTTTATCAAGAAACATAAAAAATAAGTTCCTTGGGATCATGATTCTTGGCTGCTCAAAACTTACAAATTTACAATACCTCTTGCTAGCATAGTTTTGCGTAGTTTAGATGTACACCCTTTAACGGCAAAGGGATTTGAACGGAACATTTGTGTATATTTCATTGTGACTTTCCTGGAGAAGAGATATGTCTTGACGTGGGAAATAAGTTATTGTTTGAATTCAGCAGCCGTTATTGTTGAATGTGGTGTACGAGTCTTGACCAAGGAAGTGAAGAGAAGTAGCTAGGAAAGCAAGAAATATGGATTAGACCAAGTTTCTGAGGATAAAAATGAATGGAGCTACGAGTTTGAAACCGGTGAGGTCTTGGAAGCATCTGACCAGAAGGACTGCTCAAATAGACTAATTTGTGACTCGGAATCAGAAGAGAATGATAAAGGCAAAGAGCATACAAAATGTTGGAGTGTTCTGTTCATATACTTTGTAACTATCTCATATTATGAGGAATATTGGAAGACCGTGAGGCCGTATGCTGCCACCAACCACTTTTCGTGAAGCTCCAAAAGAGCTCTAGGCGTAAAATATCGTTTGGACCCCAAAAAATGGCGTTTGGACGCTTTTCCGGGCCGTTTTCTGGTGCGGACACAAAATCAATGAATCGAAAGTGCTATGCATAGTGTTTTTTGGATGCATCCATCCTCCCTCTCACATAAGGGTCACTTAGGACTCCGGATCGGGCCTAAGCATCAAGTGGGGCCTACGCCGCCGAATAAACGTTCAAGATCCTCTCGGAAAGGCATATATGCGTTTGCGCGTCATAAACAAACGGGTGCGATCATACCAGCACTAATGCACCGGATCCCATCAGAACTCCGCAGTTAAGCGTGCTTGGGCGAGAGTAGTACTAGGATGGGTGACCTCCCGGGAAGTCCTCGTGTTGCACCCCTTTTTTTGTTAATTTTTTTCTGTATTTCTATCTGAAACTTCCAAAATGCGTAGCTGGAAGACCGTGAGGCCGTATGCTGCCACCAACCACTTTTCGTGAAGCTCCAAAAGAGCTCTAGGCGTAAAATATCGTTTGGACCCCAAAAAATGGCGTTTGGACGCTTTTCCGGGCCGTTTTCTGGTGCGGACACAAATCAATGAATCGAAAGTGCTATGCATAGTGTTTTTTGGATGCATCCATCCTCCCTCTCACATAAGGGTCACTTAGGACTCCGGATCGGGCCTAAGCATCAAGTGGGGCCTACGCCGCCGAATAAACGTTCAAGATCCTCTCGGAAAGGCATATATGCGTTTGCGCGTCATAAACAAACTGGTGCGATCATACCAGCACTAATGCACCGGATCCCATCAGAACTCCGCAGTAAGCGTGCTTGGGCGAGAGTAGTACTAGGATGGGTGACCTCCCGGGAAGTCCTCGTGTTGCACCCCTTTTTTTGTTAATTTTTTTCTGTATTTCTATCTGAAACTTCCAAAATGCGTAGCTGGAAGACCGTGAGGCCGTATGCTGCCACCAACCACTTTTCGTGAAGCTCCAAAAGAGCTCTAGGCGTAAAATATCGTTTGGACCCCAAAAAATGGCGTTTGGACGCTTTTCCGGGCCGTTTTCTGGTGCGGACAAAATCAATGAATCGAAAGTGCTATGCATAGTGTTTTTTGGATGCATCCATCCTCCCTCTCACATAAGGGTCACTTAGGACTCCGGATCGGGCCTAAGCATCAAGTGGGGCCTACGCCGCCGAATAAACGTTCAAGATCCTCTCGGAAAGGCATATATGCGTTTGCGCGTCATAAACAAACGGGTGCGATCATACCAGCACTAATGCACCGGATCCCATCAGAACTCCGCAGTTAAGCGTGCTTGGGCGAGAGTAGTACTAGGATGGGTGACCTCCCGGGAAGTCCTCGTGTTGCACCCCTTTTTTTGTTAATTTTTTTCTGTATTTCTATCTGAAACTTCCAAAATGCGTAGCTGGAAGACCGTGAGGCCGTATGCTGCCACCAACCACTTTTCGTGAAGCTCCAAAAGAGCTCTAGGCGTAAAATATCGTTTGGACCCCAAAAAATGGCGTTTGGACGCTTTTCCGGGCCGTTTTCTGGTGCGGACACAAATCAATGAATCGAAAGTGCTATGCATAGTGTTTTTTGGATGCATCCATCCTCCCTCTCACATAAGGGTCACTTAGGACTCCGGATCGGGCCTAAGCATCAAGTGGGGCCTACGCCGCCGAATAAACGTTCAAGATCCTCTCGGAAAGGCATATATGCGTTTGCGCGTCATAAACAAACGGGTGCGATCATACCAGCACTAATGCACCGGATCCCATCAGAACTCCGCAGTAAGCGTGCTTGGGCGAGAGTAGTACTAGGATGGGTGACCTCCCGGGAAGTCCTCGTGTTGCACCCCTTTTTTTGTTAATTTTTTTCTGTATTTCTATCTGAAACTTCCAAAATGCGTAGCTGGAAGACCGTGAGGCCGTATGCTGCCACCAACCACTTTTCGTGAAGCTCCAAAAGAGCTCTAGGCGTAAAATATCGTTTGGACCCCAAAAAATGGCGTTTGGACGCTTTTCCGGGCCGTTTTCTGGTGCGGACACAAAATCAATGAATCGAAAGTGCTATGCATAGTGTTTTTTGGATGCATCCATCCTCCCTCTCACATAAGGGTCACTTAGGACTCCGGATCGGGCCTAAGCATCAAGTGGGGCCTACGCCGCCGAATAAACGTTCAAGATCCTCTCGGAAAGGCATATATGCGTTTGCGCGTCATAAACAAACTGGTGCGATCATACCAGCACTAATGCACCGGATCCCATCAGAACTCCGCAGTTAAGCGTGCTTGGGCGAGAGTAGTACTAGGATGGGTGACCTCCCGGGAAGTCCTCGTGTTGCACCCCTTTTTTTGTTAATTTTTTTCTGTATTTCTATCTGAAACTTCCAAAATGCGTAGCTGGAAGACCGTGAGGCCGTATGCTGCCACCAACCACTTTTCGTGAAGCTCCAAAAGAGCTCTAGGCGTAAAATATCGTTTGGACCCCAAAAAATGGCGTTTGGACGCTTTTCCGGGCCGTTTTCTGGTGCGGACACAATATCAATGAATCGAAAGTGCTATGCATAGTGTTTTTTGGATGCATCCATCCTCCCTCTCACATAAGGGTCACTTAGGACTCCGGATCGGGCCTAAGCATCAAGTGGGGCCTACGCCGCCGAATAAACGTTCAAGATCCTCTCGGAAAGGCATATATGCGTTTGCGCGTCATAAACAAACGGGTGCGATCATACCAGCACTAATGCACCGGATCCCATCAGAACTCCGCAGTAAGCGTGCTTGGGCGAGAGTAGTACTAGGATGGGTGACCTCCCGGGAAGTCCTCGTGTTGCACCCCTTTTTTTGTTAATTTTTTTCTGTATTTCTATCTGAAACTTCCAAAATGCGTAGCTGGAAGACCGTGAGGCCGTATGCTGCCACCAACCACTTTTCGTGAAGCTCCAAAAGAGCTCTAGGCGTAAAATATCGTTTGGACCCCAAAAAATGGCGTTTGGACGCTTTTCCGGGCCGTTTTCTGGTGCGGACACAAATATCAATGAATCGAAAGTGCTATGCATAGTGTTTTTTGGATGCATCCATCCTCCCTCTCACATAAGGGTCACTTAGGACTCCGGATCGGGCCTAAGCATC